GAACGCATGAATTTGGGACCAAATACGCATCCTCTATCGGCGGTAGGTCTTAACTGACAGTAATTCGTAAGACCTCGCACGTAGATGCAATGGAAGACGCGAATCACGTGTGTGACTGTGGCCGGCCTTTCATGTCATTGCGGACGATGAACTCGCACCGAGCGGGGGCATGTCCCTCCACTGTGGAAGAGAGGAGCATGACAGAAGAGATAGTTGGGGAGGTCAACGGCGGACCGTCGAATAGTGGTCCCATCGACCTGGTCAGTGGGGAAAGCCAGGAGGTTGAGCCCCCTCCTGATGTACAAGCGGACTGCGCATCCGAAGAATAGCAAGAAGAACACGCAGAGGCATTCGACAGCTCCTGCAAACTAGCGGCATTGATTTTCTCGTGTAGGGGCGGTGTGGGCATGTCCCAAACTGACGTTGACTGTCTGTTGTCACTCCTAAAAAATCCTAGATTTGACCCCAGAGATATCGCATTTCGTAACAGTCGTGAGTGTCTGACATGGGCAGGCCGCCAGGCTGAAGCTGCAGGGTGGCAAGAGAAGAATCTACGCAGTGATGATTGGCCCGAAGAAGCACATGTCATTCTGTGGTACCGCGACTGGCACACAACGTTCGCTGACCTCGTGCGTGCTGCACTGAACAACGTTGAAACGGTGTCTTGCCTCGAAATACAACATCCCGAGAAGGACATCGAAATCTGCGACTCTCGCACGGGGCAGTTGAGTCACCATGTCCAAACTGTTATCAGAGCGGACAAGGGTGTGGACACGAATGGTAGAACACATTATGTCATCCCTCTGTCTCTGTCTTCAGACAAGACTCATGTAGACGGTCGTCAAAAGCAGACAGCGTATCCTCTGATGATGTCAATCGCCCATCGCCCATCAGATGCCACACTGCTTGCGTATCTTCCAGTGCTTCAACACCGGCCACGTGACAAGGGCTGGGGTCCGCACTCCACCGCGTTTAGAAAATGGAAAATTGTGATATTGCATAAAGCGTTGTCAATAGTATTGCAGTCCGCAAAGGAGGCATCCCATGACGGCATAATGGTAACAACGGAGCGGTTCGGTGAGATAACAGTGCACCCTTTCGTCATGAACTATATACAGGACTATCCTGAAAGGTCTGCCCTTGCAACTGTGGAATTCGGTGTTTGTCCAACATGCACAGTGTCCAAAGACGATTTGGATGTCATCGCCGATTTCACCAACTGCAGGAGATCGCAGACGCTAGAGACGCAACTTGCCGCGGACTGCTTCAACAGTGGGGACAACGACATTCATCGTGCTGCTGAGGCACGAATGTCAAAATTGGACATGCATAAGCATGTTCAAGAGAACGGCCTATGGGGATTCTACAGGGGTCCGCATGGTGACGATCTTGAACTAGATTACCATCTCGCTTTGCAACCAGACCGTATGCACACCATTGAACACGACATTTTTTTGCATATGATAAATGCATTCAAGGCAGCTGCTTATAAGAAGTTGCCAGATACCGCGCAAAGCGAGATATTGCACGAGATGGATGCGAGGTTGCAGAGCATCAGTGAGAGATTCACACGGACATACCCGCAGCTTGTGTTACCCGTAACCACAGGTTGTGATTTCTTTTCAAGGGAAGGACGATTTGAAGCGAAGCAAAATCGGTCTGTTATGACAGTTTGCGTGTTTATTATTTATGATATCATCCCATGTGCGACAGGCAAATCCATTTCCGCTTGTTGCATCAAACTCATGGAAATGTACATACACGTGTTTCATAAGTCAACCCACACAGCGTCCTCTCTCGATGTTTGTGACACATTGATAGGTAATTTCATAACTAGTATAAAAACGAAGATGGAAAAATATCAAACCTCTGATTGAAAAATTCCGAAGTTGCATGACCTTATGCATTTGAGAACAAGCATAGAGCGATCTGGTGTTACCCTGTTCCCGACACGTTCGCAGCTGTTGTGTGGGAGCATAATCATCAGAGGTTCTGCAAACAGCCATATTTGTCATCAAACAAGCGTAAGGCTGCTTCCCAGATAGTGAATCATGTCCGACGCTCATTGGCTTTGCAGGATGAGATGGAGAGTGTGAGAAAACGCAGGAAGAGGTCGGCAGAAAATTGGTCATCCGTGATAGAGTGCATGGCCACCGAAAGTAATACCCTGGCAGCGGGCGACACAACAATTCTACAACTCCGGTGGTTCCAGATGGACGATGTGCATTTGCCAGGCGTAGAGGGTATGAGTGATGCGGTGTTGAGAATACTTAATGAGCTTCCCCGCAGAGAGGATTTTTGAGCTGCACTTACGACGTTCATGACAGAGATGGGTTGTCAACCTCCATCTGATGACCAAGTCACACACACTCGAACACACTTGACTATCGCCTGCACATACGACGAGACGCACAGGGGCGCAAGCGTTCAGACGGCAAGAGCTTCACCACAGTTCCACGGGAGAGCCGTGCACAACGATGTTGCAGTGAGAGGTGGCAATGACAACATATGGTATGCATCAGTAGCCATGTTTTTCGTCATGAACGCTTGCACAGGTGGTGTTGCGGAGATGCACAAGTGTTGTTTCGTGCAATGGTACAAAGAGGTGGATAGCGAAAGGGAACACACAACAGGTTGTAAGAAGTTGCAATGGGAGAAGGTGAACGGTCATCAGCACAGTAGCGTCATAACGATTGATACCATCATTGACACCGTTCACATTGTTTCTCGTTTTTGTAAACCACAATGGGGCTCGAAGAAGCATGCAAAAGAGAGGGAGGACAGTTTTTTGTTGAATAGATATGTACTCTAGAAGTGTACAGGGAATTACTCATTGTGAAAAAAACAAAAATTAAAAGGCTGATCGTTTTTCCGAGAACAATAAGAGGTGGGCGCAGTTGAAATGTTATACTACAGCATGCACTCAACTTTTGTTTTTCTTTTACAGAGAGAGAGAGAGAGAAGCGTTTGAACAACAATAGTCATTTGGTAAAGATGGAGTCCGAACATCGGTAGATTTTTCGAGCGCGGAGCCTGCATTTCAGACCACTGTCGCATAGCTTCTGTGTCATCTTACAAAGCAATGTAGAGAAAGGTGCATCAAACCAGTGTGTATGACGAAGGTAACTTCAGAGTTGACTACTGCGTGCACATGTATGGCGAACGTGGACTTAAAAAGTGGGAGGTGGCCAAGTTACTGACGAGATGTGGTTCATGGCCATGTGACTGCCATATGAACAGGAAAGGTTGAGGTTGAGGTAATGCCACAATAACAATCTGCACTGGAAGAAATGGCAAGACAGCAAGCCGGAAAATAAGCGTATTGAGGAATTGTTGAGAAGCCGATTTAGACTGACACTGCCATCAGTTGTCACATCTGTTGTACGACGGAGAATAAGGGTTGTTCAGATGAGCCAATTTGACAAAATCCACGAGGGGGTAGATGGCAACGGTTGTATCATGGGCTCCAAAGCGACGGACAGTTCAGAAACAGCAAGGAATGACGAACACTCATGTGGACCAACTGTCACCGAACCGTTGCTCCCATTGAGCAGTGAGAGATCAGTGAATCGATGGAAGAGGATACTGGAGGACCCTTGGTATGCGGAAATGTATCAGATGATGACCACAGATGACGCCCAATATCCTCAGATGGTGCATGAACCTTTGTTCAATATTGCAGGAGGCAATCGGTCGACGGGTATGACTGCAGAGGCTGGAAAGAGACCCAAGAGGGTGGACGAGCAACACTTGTTCCCGTTCACGTGGAAATCAAGAAGACACGCCATATCGATAACAAAACGGGACGTATTGCGATTGGGTGCCAAGCAGTGGCTGAACGATAACGTGATCGATATGTACTTACAGTCCGTCTATGACGAACATTTTCCAGACGGAGACAATATGACACTTCATGTTTGCACATCTTTCTGGTACCCCGCAGTCATCGCCAATCAGAAGGTTTATGTCGCGAAAGCGGGATGGCAAGGGCGGATCAAGAGTACATCGCCAAAGCTGCGTCGAATAAGCAATGAACTGCGAACAACAAGTGTTGTTCTCATCCATGTGAATCACGAAAACCATTGGAAATTGCTCTTGCTACTGAATGTCGACCAGTTTTTTGGCAGTCACGGAGGACAACGATGGCCACAAACGACATGTTGCGATCGTCATCGATTCCTTTCAACAGAGCGGCCGACAAGAATGGAAGGCGTTGCACACATTTTTGTGGTATGAATACCTCAGCGAGGCAGACAAAGCAGGGGTGTTGACTCCCGACACAGTGGACACGTCGTGGGTGACATGGAGAGATCTACTTGGATCTAAGATAGTGTACGCTGAATGTTCGCAACAGACCAATACGTCGGACTGTGGTGTTTACGTTTGTTGCGTGGCGAACTTAATTGATGCGAAAGCTAGCAAAACTGAGTAAGCAAACGAACATTAACGCAAAATATATAACAGACGTTGTTAGTGCGATGGAGGTTGACGACCAAACAGTCGACATATTTCGTCAGTCAATGGTACAGTGCGATGCGCAGTGTGTTGTCGAGGCAAAAGGATATAACACCGCAGCAGCATATGACATAGAACATGTTTTCAGAGATCTCATAGACGGAACACGGAGTGGATGTTCGTAAATACAAGGGCATGATAGAAACCGTGAGATCAGGAAACACGAAGTTGACAACCG